GGAAAAAACACCCTTGTTGACAGTGTGAACAGGTGGTTCCAGGTCGTGCTGGAATTCCATAGACAAAGTGTGACAGACTACAGGCTTCCGATGAAACCAGAACCGACCCCGCGGCACCCATTAACTCCAAGCGTCCGTGCACTCGATCGTCCTCTTCACCTTCTCCTCATCTCTCGGATCAAAGGCTCGGGCATCGGCCACGTTGACGTGGCACAGGGACGACGTCACGTCGTCGATGCCCGACGCTCCACGAGAGATCCTGCCGCAAAATCCGACCGTTTAGAGTGACAGCGAGCGGAACGCCCGCAATCGAACGTGCGCAGAGCGAAAGCGGAAGTGAAGGCGGACCTCACCGTGATGGAATTTCGGGGGAAGAATTCGAGCTGCCAGTGACCGACCCGGACAATTTGTGAAAAAGAAAGAGTCATCTATAGATAATCCAAAATATTAATCTAGATAATCTAGCACATATGTGCTTTTGGTTTCTAAAGATTAAAAAAGGAGAGAAAAGGTGCTGCGTCTCAGCAAAGGATCTGATCCGATAGAGACACCTCACGACGAACGGATCAAGAGGTCCCATCAATATTTTCCAGATTATTTTGTTCCGGGTCAAACTGACATCACTCAAAATATGAGAAATTCTATGGGAAAGAAACCTGTGGTATCCAGTGGTCCTATTTTCACCACCAACTGAAGGCTTCGAGATATCTATCAACTACACTCTGATGGATTAAAATGGAACCTGAAGATGGACGTTTGGAAAACTAGTTATTGTGATACAGTATATTTTCCTCTACAAGCCAGTGGTTTTCAGGTTCCATGTTAATCTTCCACGGCATATCCTTTGTTCCCTCTCGCCAAGGGCTTCCATTGGATCGGGCGACCACGGCCAAAGCTTGGAAAAACGCACGTCAAAGACATGAAGAATGATCTTTGAAGACAAGACGCACTTGCATGTTCCGGCATGACGAATGTCACTGGTACTTGCAAGGAGCAAGCTACGTACTGCTCGTAGATCGTCCACACACGTTGCAGGTAGACAGGCTGCTGCCATGTGTCCAACACTGCGACCACACGCCCGATGCGCCGGAGATTCTTCTCGAAGACTTCTTCCAAATTGTCACTTCCCATGGCCGATCCTTCCACGATGATGCGGAATTGATTGTTGACAAAGAAACAGATGTAGAAGAAGACCTCCTTGGCTGTTCTATGATTCTCTAATGCCAAAACACAATGCCAAGACTCGTTGCAAACCTCACTGAAATCAGACAAAAAGCTATATAGTTGACCCATCAGCTAAGCCTCTTGAAAATCCAGCGTTGTGGTTCCCCTCCACATCTTCATGGCGCTCTGCAGTTGTTGGAGTGAATATTGCCAGCTCCAGGACCTTCGATGGTTTCTTCGTCACTCATTTCCTTCCAAAAGCTGTAGACCCGAAACCATCCAAGTCCACACGAGATATGTTCGAAACTGATTAAACTGATGCAGCTACAGCTACCACATCGAATTTGTGAGTATATCGTTCCCAATGTTGAGGAACCTTGTTAGAACGTATCGTTTTTTCGGGTCCGTCCCATCAACAAGAATTTGGGGTTTTGGAGCATGCAACGTTGCGCAAGATGAATCTGAAGGCACTTCATGGGACCTTGTTGTTTCACTTGGAAAAGCTATGAAAAAGCTGGTGCTGCTTGGGGATTGCCCCGTGAATGGATCTTCAGAACCCGCAACAAGGAACCTCTCTCAGAACCCGCCGTCCCGGGCGGCCGCAAATGTGGCACGTGGCAACTTCAGGATCATGCGGTTCCCTATGAGGCCCACATGCGTCATGTCTTTAAAAATGGTTTCCAACCCGCTTCCAACCCTCATGTCCAAGTTCCTAACCCTCTCATGTGTCATGTGCTCAAAACTTCAACACTCTTCCAACCTTTCCGCTTCTCGTGGCGTTTTTTGGTCTGGCCAAGTGGCATAAAATGCGTCTGCATTTGACGATGCTCTGGCGACAGCCAATCCACCAGCGCGCATCCTGGTCGCCCATCGCGGGGGCAACGAATGTCGGATCCGAGCTTCTCCTCGCCTTGCCAGAAGACCTCAAGGGAAGACCGGGCACTGAAAGCCGGAAAACACGGGCACCAGCCATAAACAAGGCATACATACCCCTGTTCCACTCATCTCCCCGTCAAAAGACTGGCTGGTACTTAAAGGTCTTCGGCTTTATATTTGTTTCTGCTCATTTCTCAAAAATTGTCGAATCCTCCCATCACGGTCACCTACTCATCAGCTAGTTCACAAACAAAAGATCCTCCTGCCTCCTTCAAGCGAAGAAATGTTGGATCATGCTCGCCCGACCAGTCATAGGCCAACTGTGAGAAGTCACCCATCAAATACGCGAGGCTCACACCCGCATGGGCGCTGTGACGGGCCCGGATCCTCACGTTTTGGCAGCGAAACACGACTAAAAATAGCTCAACTGGAAACCTCTACTGTCCTTGCAACTCAAGTTCACCTGGAATGGGACAATGGGCACCTGCAAGATTTGCTTCCTTTGCAGATTCCATATCAGCCATGTGAGTGGGAGTGTAGTCTGCATGAGATTTCGAGTTCGACATCGTCCTAGTCACCAGACTTCCCTGACCTTCCATCTTGAACCCTCAGACAAGATCTGAGAACATCTCCAAGCTCAATCAATCTGAGAATCTCTTCAGCTCGCTGACACACTTGGTTCCAGCTCCAGCCAAAGCCGCTCAAGGCCACCAAGAACCTCTCCAGGATCAGGCTGAAAAGGTGAGACATTCACAATTTGGATGTGCATACTTCATGCAAGTCTTCACTGGCTTGCAACTCAAAAAAGGAGGCAACACAACATGTCTCTATCTATTGAACAGTGTGTATATAAACAAACAAGCTTATGCATGCACTGAGGGTTGATCAATGGTCGCAGCCTGTTCATGGTGTTCAGCTTCTCATGCCAAAGCTCCTGTTCGAGCTGTTGAAGGATCTGGTTCACCTGGTCGCGCAGCAGCGTTGTCCAAGCAAACAAAAGCACCAGAAATTAGGAGCTCTCAACCAGTGAAGCAGTGGCTGATTGGAATGATCGAAAGCCGTTTAGAATGGCCTGACGGTGGGGCTGAGTGGAATTCTAAGGACTGACTTACTTTAGCATAATTTATTCCCTAAACATCACAAACAACTCCCAGGTTGGGACAACTGTCGCTGGAGGGTCGTACCGTGCGCATCGGGCGAAAGCTCCATGTGCTCCACGCGTTCCATCTGCCTAATGCCTGACCCTCCAAAACTGTTTTTACCAGTGCCAGGCACATGGTGGATTAAGTTTGGTCATCGACCCACGAGCATCCCACTACCGAGCCGCCCATCATGGGGATGGGTGAAAAACACCCTTTGGATCCATTTTGACCCATGGTGGATTGAGGTGTTTGGTCATCGAATCAACAAGCACCCCACTACCATAAGCCATAAATGGGCCGCCCATCATGGGTATGGATCAAAAGCCCCATGTTGACTCATAGCCAAACAAAGCCGTATCTACATGTACAGATCATGTCTCCGACTCTGCCCGACTCCGCCCCGACTCCGCCTCCTCTTCACGGCGCTCGGTCCAGCGCTTCCGGCGCCGCTTGGTGATGCGGTGCCCGAGGAAGACGAGGGCGGAGAAGAAGAGGAGCAGCAGGACGATCATCGGAAGGTGCCACCAAATACCTGGGAGAAACATACAAAAACGCATCAAAATACCAAATACAGGCTGAGATAAAGGAATACAGACTGAGCCAAAGCAAAATCATGCAAAAACCGCGTGGTTTTGAAACACTGTAACAGGACTGGCGAGCCGGCCATGGACCTTGAAACATGTCAATTCCAAAGCAGCTTCAAGCCTCAAGTGCACAAAAACGACCAAAACTTCCAAGTGCAAGCTGGCTGCAGTTGTTGTTGTTCAAGAAGCGAGGGAATCGACAAAGCCGGCATGTCTCACCATCTGCATACTCTCCCGGAGCACAAGGCGTGCAGTCAGTGCGGCCTCAGCGCTGGCTCAGCTGAAATTCAACATCGAGACACCTTTCAAGCAGCTCTTAGTCTGTTGTTGAAGGAGATTGGGACTTTCCCCAAACCACCTACCTCAGAAAATAAGATATGTCTGGCGATTCTTTGCCAGACTTCCGCAGACTTGAGATGCAGCCCACCCAGAACACTCACAAACCAGCTCTGCTCTGAACCCTTCCTCCTCATCTGCCAAGGGGCCGTGGTCCGGGACTTCTCCAGTAGGACAAGCTGCACATTCTGAGGCTCCTTCTGGGGCATATCCTGCAAACAGAAAGTCGACAGGGCTCATCAAGATCAGGTGAACATCATGGTTGGCGACACCTACACCTCAGAAATCCTCAGAAAATCTGTTGAGCGTCCCACGTGATCGTCAACGAAACAGCTACATCTCTCGAGAAAGAATGTTCGAATCTCTGAAACATGGCTGACAATCGAAAGAAATGGTTGGGACAAAGAGTACACTTCGGCTTTGGAGAATCTGACAAATCCATCCAAATCCATTGATATTGGCATCTCTTGTGGTCTAAAGAGAGAACTAAATGGGTATTTGCTGTGGTGCCCTCTTGAGTCACCAGTCACCGGCTGAGAAATAGCAGGGTGAACCGGTGGACGTCCTCATACTCCCCGGATACATTGGCGCTCTAGGGAACGATGGTCGAAGATGGCGTCGCCAGCGCATATCTTAAACTGAAACCTCTTTGCAGTATGAAGGACATGCACCAACCCCATTGAGCCATCTCCACTGACTTTATTCTGAAAAAAGCCTCTTGAAAAAGAGAAACATCCAAATGGAACCAAATCGTTGAATCACCAAATCCAGATCAACACATGATATTCTTGAGAGTGACTCGGTGAAAACACCCGAAGTCTTACCCCGGTCACTCATCAAGAGATCGGCGTCACGTCTTCGGTTTGTAACTCGTTCGGCCATGAGAGTCGCTCCCCACCTGCTGTGCATGCTTGGCACTCGTCATTCCTGGCAGCTCTTCCTGCTGGGCAGACGACGCAAACCAAATCCTTGGATCTTCCACGGCCAGACAGTTCTGCAAAAGATTGGACTAGACCCATCTGAGTTCACGTTCTGGCCTCATTTCGAGATTCCAGGCTACTCAATTATCTTTATTTGGAGGTCCAACCTCCCCGAAACAGCTGGTTTTTAGCCGGGTTTGGCCTATAAGAACATCTCAGAAGAATGACCTTCAGGACATCTTGCCAGCAAATCCAAGCGACGGGCTCCTTGCTCCGATCTCGGACCTGATTGCTCGCTGAGCACCTGCAGCAGGCGGCCGCGGAGACCTCCACCTCCGACTCCTTCGACCGCGTCGTTGGTGTCGGCACCGTTCCAGCGGGACAGGAGAAGGTCCCGCAGGAGGTCCGGCGAAAGGCGGTCCGTCCTTCCCAGGGCGGCAGTGGCAGGGTGTTCCGCGGTATGCGGTTCGGCGGAACGAGAAGGGCGGAACACTTTTCGAGACAAATCTTTGGACCAGGTGTTGCAAACTACAGGTGAATCGGTATGGTATGATGTGCAAGGAGTCGGTGAAACAAAAAGATATCAAAAAATCTTGGCATTGTTTGGCAACTATATATGCAAACCTAAAACCTACCTTGTCCCTGGCCTCTTGAACTTCCGTTCGGTGCTGTGTCCCGTGTGAGCCTAGGCTCATGTATCAGCAAACAGTGACCGGACTCTTCAAGGAGAAGAGCAAAGCAATCCGAAGCTTCACAACTGCTTGCGCAAGCTCGGAAGCCCACTACTGTCGCAGGCGTTGCATTCACATCGTGCCAAAGGCCTTTCCCAAGCTCGATGAAGCCAGAGTTCACTGGTCGACAGGCTCCATCGACGCATGCCAGATTTGTCTGAGGGCAAGGGCAGCTGGGACAGGCTGAATATGCCCAAGGACGAGATACTCTGGGAGGCAAACCTACAGCCTCAGAACTGGCGCCAAGCACACAATCCGACATCCCAGACCCAGCAAAGGCATTGGACATCGCCGTCTCATCAGGGATTGATGTAAAGTTCCAGGTTGACAAAGGCTGATTAAAGCTTCTGGCACCTGAAAACATGTCTCTCATGTCTGTGGCAGCCGATGTGTCCCACATCCCCACGGGCTGGTCAAATGAACGAGCACGTATGAACATCGCAGAGAAGTTTGTCACCAACCCTGTGTCCCAATCATTTAGTGGCTGATTGAAGGACACTGCTTGATCAAACATGGAATGCATGCTCTTGACTCGAGACGTGTCCCATGCGCCGATGGGTTGGTCAAAGGACGTTGCCACTGCGAACATGCCAGACATGTCTCTCACCTCGGCCGTGTCCCAATCACCGGTTGGCCGATTAAAAGTGCTGGCCCCGTAGAACATGTTGTGCATGTTTGTCACTGCTGAAGTGTTCCACAAGCCTATGGGCTGGTTAAAGACCACTGCACCCGCAAACATATTGTGCATGTCCTTGACATTTCCTATTTCCCAAGCACCAATCGGCTGGTCAAAGGAACTGGCATCCTGGAACATAAAGGACATGTCAACGACTGCTGTGGTCTTCCACGACCCAATTGGCTGGTTGAACTTCTTAGCTTGGTAAAACATTGCTTTCATGTTCTTCACACCGGCCGTGTCCCAAGCACCGATCGGCTGATCAAAGGAGCTGGCCCCATAAAACATGGCGCCCATGTCCACGACTGCTGATGTCTTCCACAATCCAATTGGATGGTTGAACTTTGTAGCTTCGTAAAACATGGCATTCATGTTCCTAACCTTGGCCGTGTCCCAACCACCGATGGGCTGATCGAAGGAACTGGCCCCATAAAACATCCAGGACATGTCCACGACTGCAGCAGTGTTCCACGATCCAATTGGTTGGTTGAACTTCTTAGCTTGGTAAAACATGCTGTTCATGTCTCTCACTTTGGCCGTGTTCCAAGCACTGATCGGCTGATCAAAGGAAGTGGCCCTCCAGAACATGTGCTGCATGTCCGTCACTAGCGAAGTGTTCCACAATCCTATGGGCTGATTAAAGACCACTGCACCCGAAAACATATTGTGCATGTCCCTTACGTGTGCGGTATTCCAATCACCGATTGGCTGGTCGAAGGAACTGGCATCCTGGAACATAAAGGACATATCAACGACTGCTGCGGTCTTCCAGGACTTAATCGGTTGATTGAACTTCGCAGCTTCGTAAAACATGCTCCTCATGTCTCTCACTTTGGCCGTGTTCCAAGCACCAATTGGCTGATCAAAGGAACTGGCCCCATAGAACATTTGGTGCATGTTTGTCACTGCTGAAGTGTTCCACAAGCCTATGGGCTGGTTAAACACCACTGCACCCGAAAACATATTCTGCATATCCTTGACATGTCCAATATCCCAAGCACCGATCAGCTGATCAAAGGAGCTGGCATCCTGGAACATAAAGGACATGTCCACGACAGCTGCGGTCTTCCACAAATCAAGTGGTTGATCAAACTTTGTAGCTGCGTAAAACATGCCTTTCATGTTCCTCACACCGGCCGTATCCCAAGCATTAATCGGCTGATCAAAGGAACTGGCCCCACAAAACATGAGGGACATGTCAACGACTGCTGCGGTCTTCCACGATCCAATCGGCTGGTTGAACTTTGTCGCTTCGTAAAACATGCTACTCATGTCTCTCACCTTGGCCGTGTCCCAAGCACCGATCAGCTGATCAAAGGAGCTGGCATCCTGGAACATAAAGGACATGTCCACGACAGCTGCGGTCTTCCACAAGTCAATTGGTTGATTGAACTTTGTAGCTGCGTAAAACATGCCTTTCATGTTCCTCACACCGGCCGTATCCCAAGCATTAATCGGCTGATCAAAGGAACTGGCCCCACAAAACATCAGGGACATGTCAACGACTGCTGCAGTCTTCCACGATCCAATTGGTTGGTTGAACTTCGTAGCCTTGAAAAACATCTTGCTCATGCTCTGCACGCGCGATGTGTTCCACTCGCCTTGGTTTCGAAATAGAGGCGATACTTTGGGGCGAAACGATTTCCTCCCGTCTTGCTCTTGTCAATATTGCATTTTTTGGATGGGCGTACAATCTCCCACCACATCTGTGGCAATTGCCAGTTGTTTACCCCACCACTCTCGAATCCTAATTGTATGTTGCAAAGAAAGAGTAAAAAGAAACCACTGCGACGGCCACACCCTACCTACTTCTTAGCACTCAGCACACACGGCTTTTACTCAAATGCACACCGAAGCTGACAAACACCGGCACTTCCGCTTCCACACGGACCACCGGCACCGGCGGAAGCGACCTTCAGGCTCCTTTCCCCCCTCTTCGTCCGGGGAGGTCACCGGGGGAGTGACGGATGCAACGACCGGATGGAACGGCCGGTTCATGGCGTCATGGGTTGCGGAGTCGAAGGACCCAGCTCGGAGAGATGAAAGAGGAGAGGGGAGAAGGGAGAGGCGTTTTGGCCAGAAACTGCCAGAATGAGTCTCACAAGGAATGGTAGCTGGTAGATGAACATCGATTGTTCATGAACATGGAGTCCTGGAGTGTACATGGCAGATTGACCCGGTGCCACGACCAATGATGATCCCGCCCAGGGACCGATGGGCATGTTGAAGGCAGTAGCCCCAAAGAACATGGAGCTCATGTCGACGACCTTGGAGGTATCCCAGGCGCTGATGTTCTCGTTGAAGCGCTCCAGGTCTTTAAAGAGGCCACTCCTCAGAAGTGTTCAAAGCTTCGAGGCACCAAACGATACAAAATCAAGTGGTTGGGAGTTGGGACTTCTGGAAACATCCATGTGCGCAGCCAATAGGGGGGAGTCACCAAGTTTCCAGCTGCGCAAGTTCCGAATCCCACCTGCGCCCTGTGCGACGAATCCGTCCCTGGACCCAAAACGGCATCCCTTCTCGAAACACGGCCCAAGTGCCCAACCCCTCATGGGTCGGGTCGGCGTCTGGTCACAGGTCTTGCAAGACGGCCCTTAATTACCGCTCATCTCTTTGGCCCAATCGCAAACTGGGGTGCCTGATCTGTAAGTTCCCGTGAATTCCTTCTGTAAGTTTCGTGTCACTCGTCCCATCAACTCCTTCTAAATCATTCTAAATCCAAATAACTTCACCAGCTCACGCTTCGCCTCATGCTGCTCAGCTTCATATTCGTCACCGATGAAACGTCCCATCCACCAGGCGCTCCGTGGGGCAGGTGCAACTTGGTCGCCTCGTCCGCATGGTACCACCTCGGGACTTCACTTGGTCTGGGCAATTGTGTCCAGCTAGTACAAGGTTTTGGAGGCAAAAACGGTGTCCGGAGAAATGTATGTGCTGCTAAGCATTGTTGATCCAAGAGGAACACAGCGGTGTTGGTCCGAATGTCTCCCAACATGTTGGTCCCAAACCGCCGGCAAAAGAAAAACTCAATCAAAAATTACTTTAAAAAAGACTCAACCCATCCACAAAAGCCCCGAGTACGGGGGTGCATTGCTAGATATGGCCTGGTGGCCGAAGAAGTGGCTTTTTGCACGGCTCTGGGGTCCCACCCCGATGCGATGCGTCGGCCTTCGGTCCTCTTCCCGAAACGACCCCCCCGCGCGGGCGACCGCTCCGCCTGGTCAAACGGTGGGCCCAAACGGCCTGGTCAACCGGAGCGCGATCAACCGAATGGGTCCGGACCCGAACCCATCTGTTTTCAGGGGCCTCTGGGGCAGTTTGGAGCATCTGGATGGTATGAAGAAACAGGTGATCCAGTCTTCAGCTGTTGAGTGAAGAAACGCGCCACGTCGTTTTGAGGAGTCAAGCGGCTGCAGCAGCGCATCTCTCAACTCGGATCTCGTTGAGAAGCTGCAAACGACAGAGACAAGCCAGTATCGAAGTGCCATGACTCCCAGCATTGTGAAGGGATTTATGACAATATGAAGTAGGAACCGACAATCCAAAGCAACGATATATCGTCAGAACCAGCACTTATATACTGCCAAATTTAAACCTGTATATTGAGAAGACACACATATTCATTTTGCTCCCAGTGATCAGTACGAAAATTGCCTTCGAATCTCTTGAAAAGCTCCATTTATACAATACGCTGAATCGGTGGATGTTCCTGATGTGAGGGCGTCTGAGCCAAGCGAATGCAGGTCGACCAGGAAAGCAAGACAAATCGGTTTTTTGTGTTCCTAGATGTGAGTCCAAACGTGGTCGAAACCAAAAGGAGTGGACATGGTCTCGCATCTCCTCAAAACATGGATCCACTGGGAACCACCAGCCGTCCCACCACAAACGTTCGCTCCTGAAATCATCCATGGTTACGGAGTGAAAACCACCTGTTTGGTATTCAGAACATGGTCATCCGCATATGGGGGGGGCATGCCGGCCATGCCCTCCACTTTGATGACTCTTCCAGGAGTCCTTTTTCGTCCCTCTTCAAGGTCCATGTTAGTCTTGCAAACGGGGGGCGGTATGCTTCACGGTTTTTTCTTCATGATGGACCATGTCACCCACCACGTTACCACGACATCTTCTCCAAATGGTAGAATGAGGACCTTCCTTGATCAAGTGACGGGCGCCAGGCGTTGGTTCACGTGGCGTCTCGAGATCGAACACTGGGTCATCCATCCGGGTGCCTCCGTCCTGGTCTGCCCGCTCCGGGCGCATGGTGCCCGCCATGGCGTGCTTTTCGCGCCGGAACAGGTGGGAGTTTGATGGACTTTGACTCATTTGGCCAAAGGGAAGCCTGACCAGTCAGAGCTGAGAGATGCGCTATGAGGCGCTTCTGGTTGGCGGTTCTGGTTGAGCCACACTCAAGATTGAAAGGCACCCAAAATTGCAGGTCAGGTTGACTCTTGCATTCATCCATTCTAAACCTACCATAACCTACCGCCACAACCTACCTAATCTCGAGCCAGGCCCGTAAAAGCCCAGATCCTCCGATGGATCGATCAATCATTGGGGGCCCGCAGATCGAGCCGAGCATCCATCGAGGAAGGACCGTGAGTTGCAGGCACTGAATCTTCTGCGAAGACCTTCGAAGCCTCGAAAAATGGGAAGAAAAAACCATCGAAGTGAAAAGAACGCCAGCTGTCATCCCATGCCCTCCCTTTTCTCCAGCTCGATAACATTGCTTCTTGGTCTGTGTGGGCGTCTGTGAAAAGTTCCGGAAAGCCCCGTTTTTTCGAGCAGTCAGAACACAGAGGCGCTGCATTGGGACATGTTCCCCCTCAGTATTTGATGCAGGTCGTGAGCCAAGTTCTGTTCAGATATTTCCGCGCAGTGGCGGAGCATGCAGAGCTCACTGGTGGACCGGCCACGCTCCTTGGTGGACCGAACCTTGCATTCCGGAGGCCCCAAAAAAAGGAATCAAAAAGAGCGCCAGGCGGGCCAGTGGCTTAGCTAAGCCTAGTGCGTTGGTGAAGCGAGGGCAGCTTTGTCCATGTCCCGTTGGGGGAGTGGCCTTGAGGGTAAAAAGCAGTAAGCAGCTTGATTTGAGAAAATGTGAGAAAATGTGTGTGTGTGTGTCAACCCCTGTTCCTAAGGGTTTTGGTTTCTTGCATACGGCTAAGTAACCACATGTCCACGTCTTGCAGCTAAGTATTCACAGGCCGGGCATATACATGCATAGGCACACACACAACCCCCCCTACCCCTGGGCCTCGTTGCTACCCCACCCGCTTTTCGAGCAACAGAAGGAAATCGCACTCAACACACTTGTGTGTTGGTGCCTTTCCTTCTGTTTCTCCTAGCTATTGCTAGCTACCCGCGGTTTAAGACAAAATGTCCCGCTCGCGCTCTACTTTCATTTAACTACGTGCGCCTCGTAACTACACCTATCTTTCCTTCTTGCCCTCTTAGTCTGCTTTTGTTTTGTTTGCTTTTTCTGTCTTTCTAAGGCTTTTTAGGTCGCTAGTAGTCTTCACAAAACGCGCCAATATTGGCGCTATACGTACAAAGTTCGGCGACCGGTGGACACCAACGACGCTACTAGGGGCTTCTGGCCTCGCTATCAGGAGCCAGGACCTCTGACCTTTCTACAAGGTGTAAGGACGCTACTAGGGCCCCTGGCTTTGCTACTAAGGCCTCCTGGTATCGCTACTAACTTACAGTCTCTCAACGCAGAAAAAGAGGCAGGGGCACTGAGCACTCCTTGGCAAACTCAGTGCAACGAAGCTATGCCTTGGAGTGGGAAGCACGGATTGATCACCCGTGTGTACCTGCGAGATGTGACTCCACTTTTTCCTTGTTTGTTTCCATGGTGGTTTTCATGATACTTCCCCCAAACCTACTCCTCCCCAGCAGCTGCGCCGCCGATCGTCCACTGATGTACAGCGTTGTTCAGCGGAGCGAGGGAAACTATGTTCAACATTTCAAGTGATCGGACCCAATCACCTTACCGTTCCACCGCATTCCTTCCCATCCTGGCAATTGAGTCTAACTGAAAACCCAAGTTCGAAGTGTGTTTTTGGGATCCTCTCGCCCCCAGTTCCGCACCAGGCAAAAAGCGCCCTGGCAGAATCAAAAGGTCCGACAGCGCTTGAAAGTGCCTGAAATCTGCCGAACGTGCGGTGCACGCAGTCCGGCGTCCGAGGTCGGGCATCATTTCGAAACACAAAAGTGGCAGTCCAACAACCAAAAACGAGTGCTTAGACTCGGATCCTTGGCAGACCCTGGTTCGTTTTCAGAACATCGTCCTTCAAAATCGGATCCATGCCATCCACTTCCGTAAGAATTTGGTGGACCTTTCAGAGCAAAGAGAAAACCCATCAGCTGGGACCCGACACTCGGCCGCCAGCCGGCCACGCTCGGCCGAAATCCGCTCCGCCCCGCGCCGTGAACCGTCAAGTCGTCGGCCTCTGAAGAGAGCGGGCCGACTCAGCCGGTTCTGCGGCGGTGGAACACGCGGGAAAGAAGGTCTTTCGGGTGGCTTTGGTCCCAGGTGTCTGGAGGAAAACTCTAGCTACCAGTGCCTAGTGCCTACCAGTGCCTGTCCTGCCGACTGAAAAGAATCCGTGGGTTCGAGCCATATTTCATGTCAATGTCAACCTGTGATCCATGATCTAAAAGACCTCAGCAGAGACCTTCTCGGCCAACGGATGGCCGATAGCAGTCCCCAACAACGAGGACGGCTCGCACCGATCCGTCCGGATGGCAAGGCGGTCGCCGATCCAACGGATCCGGCAACAAAAACAGCGAATGGCTCAAGGGTGCTGACGACTCTGCCAAAGGGCTGTGGGTGCGCCGTAAAGCAGTGCCATCAACAGACCTTTGACACGAAAGTGATCAATTCGTGGATGCTGGATCTTGTTGAGCCACACCCGCCCAAACATTAAAATATCTATATAATCAATATAGATATCAACACATGATGCCCCAGCATAGGTCCCAATATGTGTATACACACGGACATAAGTAAGCACAACAGTTCAGTGAGTACTTTTATGTGAGACTTTTAGCCGGAGAAGTTCTGAGAACGGAGACACAAATCAATTTGGGCAAAATCATGAATGATTACAAATCAATTTGATACGAGGTGAGTGTCAGGACCCTCAAGCCGACTCAAGCCGACTCACGCCTGCGGCGCGCGTTTCTTCTCACGAGAGAGGATCCGCGTTTCTCCGCGGGTCAGCGACGGTAGAAAAAAGGGGTCCCCAAATAGATAGAAACTGTGTCCAATACCTTTTGAAAGGGATTTAACTTTTCTATCTATTTGGAGTCTATTTACAGTAAGCCAAAAGCCTGTACAAATCCGACAAGTCTTAGTCTTAGGACATGTGAAAAGCCAGAAGTTGCCAGGGTTGAGACATCTGTCTCATATATGCGCCGGAAGACCAGCAGCGGTTTTCTTCACACATTGCCCAAAAAAGAATCCTGCGGTTCTTTCTTCCAAACACCATCCAACACCCAACCCTGGCAACATAGGCTAAAACGTGTGATTCCCAGTGGCGGCGTTCGCGCCACTTCAAATTGGAGAGAGGCAGAGGCAGCGGCAGCTTTCCCAGAATTGGATGTCTGAGGAAGGCCTTGAGCCGACGGTGTGCAGCTTTTTTGTGGCTCGGTGGTATGACAAACTTGTCCACAGACGTCAAAAAGAAAACGTCCACTTTCCACAGATTTGCTACTATCGTCATGCCTAGTCACCAGTCTCAGCATGATTTGCTAGATTCAAACTGATCCCAACAAGGTCCAAGGTCCACAACTCCCAAGTTGGCAGGCCTCTTCGGGCCGTAAGCTTTCCGCAACCTCGCTTGCACTCCTTCAACTGCTCTCGCAGAAGCCTTTGCACCTGGCATTGCCATATGGGCCGGCCTGGCCAAATGTGAAATGAGTCTCCACTGAGAGGAGCTCTGAGAGGAGGGAGGTCGACCAAAGAATGGCTTTTAGGAGGTTTACAGCAAATTTGATTTAAGGTCCGCTTCCAACCAAGGATTGGACGGCGGGACATGGCCATGGCACGAAACCGCGTGTTCCTTTAGTAGGGCTTGACCCACGCTCGCCAGCGGCTGGCGTGAAGATTTTCTCGATGGACGTTGGGTCTGTGACCTTTCCTACATCGAAGATTTGCCCCCACGACACTAGGGAGCCATCGAAAGGGTAGGGAGACCCGAGGGCACAAGCAAGTGGCTACGTGAGATGCCTGAAAGCAGGATCGAATGAATGTTCTCTGGGGGTGGGGGATCACTTGCGCACCACAGAAAGACTTGATGGAAACAGTATAGCAAGCCAGCAGGAATGACAACCCAAACGCAGGCGCCGGCAAACGCAGCATTGCTCCAAGTGTCGCACTAAGATGCGAGGGAACCGACGCGCTCTCCACGTCGTCGCGGCCTCACTTCAGCTCCATGGCCAGGGTGCGGAAGCGCACAGCGGCGCTGGGGGACATGCCCAGCTTCCTGAGGGCGCGAGGGGCGATGGGCGCCCGGCGGCGAGGGCGGTGGGAGAGGTTCCGTGGGGATCAGCGAACTCGCGGGGGGCAGACAGGGAAAAATGAAGCCCAGGAGTTCCACTGAGTTTACGAGGAGTTCCACTGAGTTTACATGCTTCATTTTTGGCTTTTTCTTCTTAGAAGTCCATATGAGCGTGTTAGAGTCTGAATATTATTGAGGTCTTGCAATCACAAAAGGTCAAGTGAGTTCGCGATTTCATAACCATGCACTGTTGTAGTCTTAGAACACTGACAACTTTTCAAATATGTTCAGCAGTACGATAAGTCTCCGCTGCTTTTCTTTTGGCTCGCATTGCTTCGTGTTAGGTCTTCTCGTCTTCTCTTGTTTGGCCGCGTTTTTGGGTCATCGGAAAGTGTGTCCAACGGCAGCTCTCCCGCTCTCGCGAGAAGAATCCGGCCGACCGAGGTTTTAGGCCCCACCGAAAAACGGGGTCGGTCGACGTCACGCCAAGCTTCATGTTGACGGAGTCCATCAATTGCACCACCTTGATTGAAAGGGAAGGAAGATCTTGAAGATGTTGAAGCCACTTTGATTGTTGCTAAAATGTGTTTGGTCTCCTTGGTATCTTTTAACAAATATATGGCGTTAGTCATGCTTAGTCAGCTTGATTGATGGTCCGCCTTCTCCGGGTTTCATGGTCAACGCACAGGAACGCAACGCACCCCACCTCCTCGTCCTCCAAAAAGCACGCGCAACGGGCGATCATCTGCTGGACACCCTGCCGTGAGCCCGGCAGGCCAAAGCCTGGGCAGCGGACACGAATCCATGGCAACTACAAGAAGCCACAAGTAGAAAGTAGATTCGTGATTCTCTTTCAACCCCCCATAGGAAGAGGTCTTTACAAACGGGAGGGGTTCTATTAATTCTACATTACCTTATTGGCGTGATGCATGTTCAAAGGTGCAAGAATGACCGCGTCGCTCAAGCCATGTCTTTCTGTTTTGGTCTTTGTCCAATCAAACCATGTCATTCAACTCAGGCTTTCTCTTTACCCGCCGTAGAGAGAGAGAGAGAGAGAGCCCTACTCTCCAGTCTATCGAAAGGTCAAAAAACGTCCAACAAACTGATTGAATCGAATCATCACATCCAAGCAGGGCGGCCTGGAGATGTTCTGGATTGTTGCTCCCGAACATGCACCAAACCAGCAAACTCGAACAGGAACAATACGGCGCAGGAACCACAGCGGCACCCAACATGGATGAACGACAGCAATTGTGATGAATGTATAACTCTGCCACAAGAAACGGAGGATCGGACAAATTCACGATCAGAAAGCCGGCCAGTCGATTCCGGCCAGTCGTGTACTTGCTCCAATTCCGATTTCAGAAGCTGGAGACACACTAGCTCAAATCCCACAAGCTGATGAAATTCCCAGAAAGGTAAGTCTCGTTCATGCTTGCCCGATATTGCATCTCTGCTACTTACCTTGTGCTCCAGCCCTTCCGGCCCTGCACAACGTCACCATCTTCACCAACTTCACCGAACACCTTCACCAACCTTCGCCCAACCGGCTCGCTATCGAACAAAAGAAGAACGCCAGCCGCCCGCCTTCGCAACAAAACATCTCATGCCCTTCGCCAGGAACCGCCGTCCCTCGCCGCTCGTCTTGCCCTCTCCAAGCGGCAGGGCAAGAGTTGTTCTTGCACCGCGAAGGCCATTGCTGCACGCCCAGGAAGCTGATAGTAGCCCTGGTCGCGGCACAGATGGGACGAAGCGTCGGCTGTCTGCTTGAGCTTTTCGATGGCCTCTTGGAAGTCGGGTTCGCTGAAGCTCCTCGAGAGAGCAAGTATCAGACGTCGGTGGGTGGATCTCTTCGCCCCTGGGTGGCGTCACTAGACGGCGGCGATGGGGCGATGGACTCCAGAAACAAAAAAAAAAAGGAGGGTTTTGGACTAGGGAGCGCATTGGTTTGGCGAACTGTGCGAACATGCTGCCATGCGGTCGAAGCATGGAATTTTCGGTCCTCAGCAAGCTCTTCAAAAGCCTCTTGACACTCTGCTTGCTGAGCGGCGTGCTGGATCCACGATCCAATGGCCGTTCCTCCACTTCGGCAGGAGCCACCTGAGACAGGCCCAAAGACTCCTCGATGGCCATCTGGTTGACGTAGACCTCTGCATCTGTCCTAAGAGGGACCAGGGACGCTATCCCCGCGGCCTACGGCAGGGCCCTGCCAAAGTAAACATGGAAATCCTGAAAACCTTCGTCATAGTCTTAAAACGAAAAGGTGATCTCCAAGGGGTCCAGCGCCAATGATCCCCAATGAACGAGAAGAACAACCACTTATATAAATCTCACCTGTACTGCACACAAAGATCCATGAGAATTGGTGAGATGTCTAGAGCCAAATCATCTAAGCTTGGCATTCAGAAAATGGTCATCTTTGAGGGCCATGTGTCCATGAATGTGTAACCATTAATGATGATGATTTCAGGAAGAATAATTGGTGGCACTGTGGCACCCCATGACCTCCCTTGACAGCATGGATATCCCTCAGAGAAGAAGAAGTTGGAGGTGGAAAAGGGGGATCTGCCCTCCCAAGGCGTTGCTGGAGGTGGCCAGTCAGCAGAGGGGTGTCCCTGCCAACCCACGCGCTCCGCGGTCCCAGATTGGTGAGCAAGTTTCTCAAAGTCCTTCCACAGATTCGAGAGCTCCTTCAACTCAAGGAGTGAAGCCTCCATGCCATACTTCTCGAGCCTCTGCACTTCACCTGGGCTGTCCGTCGCACAGCGGTGACATTTGGGCCAACGGTTTTGGGCTGAAGGATTCCAAACGTGAACCCCAGGCCACTGGCCATGGTGGCGATGGTCCTGCACGGCGCCCCGGTGCACGAACGGTGCACTCCCTGAAATCCTCCATGGTGACCGTGGATGGGAAGGCCCCTGAGTTCGGATGACGCGGTCTCATCCGAAGACCAACTTGAGAGAGGAGGGGGTGAACGAAAGGTAGCAGGCCATCACAAGCAACCCTGGTAAAAGTCCATGACGGCGTGAACCGGCGCAGGGGGGATTTGATCCAGGGGGGGTGGGCCCCCCCCCCCGACGAACAGAATCAACTCTTACAGGACCAAATTCATGCACAATCCCAACTCCTGATTGTAATACATTTTTGCTAAAGCAAGGAGAACTCAGGTAGCTCAAGCTACCTTTCGTGAATAGGTGGCGAATTCACTCCACTTGACCTATGAGATCCTATGAGTATTTCAAGACTCTCAGCTTCGAAGCTACCGGTAGCACAATGTACCCACGACCTGTACCACCTGCGAATTCGGCCATTCATCCTCCAATGCAGTTCATCTTGACTCACCCCATCTGTCCAATCCCCTTCGGAACACCGGTTTCCACACCGGTTTCCACTTTCAAAACCATCCTCAAGCCTCCTTCAAAACGCTTATCCCTTCTTCCCCGTTCTTTCATCGAAACGGCACCACACGCCGGACAACGGGCAACACCCGTCGTCACCACAGGTCATGTCTCGGTCCTCGGTCCGAGTGGCTCTCCTCCAACAACTCCCAGAGAGAGACATCGGATCCCGTCGCGGTGGACGTCTCCCGCAGCTTGCGTTGAAAGCTGGGCAAGGCGAAGGTCTCCAGGAAGACCTGGTCTGAAGACCGGATCTGTTGAATGGGGATGTCTAAAAGAGATGTGATGCTTGGGTTTTCTCAAACGATACTTTTCTAAGGGAAGGATCCCATCAGATTTCCTATAGTTTTCTCAGACCTGTTTCTCTTTATTTCCTGCATCCATTCTCTTTGGAATCGCCCAATGGATCTCCCCACAAAACCAACGAGAAACCCCTGCCTGTTGCAGCTCCAGCAGCGCCTCCTGTCGCTGGCCGACCGAGAACGAACAAGGCCGGTGCCGAGAACGTCGCGGCGACGCGGCGAGCGCTCCGTTGGAAGTCTCGTTGGACTCGGAGCGGAATTTGGCATGGCCCTTCGGGCTCTCGTGGCACTTGTTTCTAATAGCTTCTTGTTACTACTAGTAAGGCACTTGTTACTACTAGCGTGGCACCTGTTACTAATAGCTTCTCTCTTTAGGGTCAGGAGGTGTCTTTCGTTTTGAGGCACGAAGTGCGGCACGAAGTCTAAAAGAAACACGGAAAAATCGTCGTTCCCAAAGTGACCGTTTCTTCAGAAAGGGATTGCCGTTTCATCCAACGCTCCACTGCTGGACTCTGAATTTCCAAAATCTGCCTGTTGAGCTCATTGCAAATCATTGAAGTCCTTACCCCAGACAGAGCGGCCCCTCACCTTGTCAATCGGCCCACCGCTGCTGAGGGTGATAGGAGAGCTTGGAGAGGTTGGCGAAGTGGAGGGGGCGGTTTTCACCTCCTCAGTGCTATGTCTTTTGATCTTTTCACTATGTCCAAGACATGCTCCTTACAGGAAATTTTCCTTCTTCCACCCTTTTGGCCAAGCAGCGAAAGCTTGGATGGTCTGAAGTCCATCCACCATACAAGTCATATTTGGCGCTGAACAGACGTGGGATGTCGGGTCACGCGATTTCTGCAAGCCCAAATTAGCTTGCAAACGACCAGGTTTGGAGTGGGAAAATGGGGACTGGTCTTCCGTCCCCCCACGAGCTTGCCGCAGAGCGGCCAAGACCCAAGGTAAGGTGCGTTCCTCGATTCCTCGAGTATTGAAAACCCAGGATCAACAAACCCGCTGCCCTTCTCTTTGCCCCCTGATAGTTTTGCCGAAGACGCATGCGAGGGGTGTTCCGAGAGGCCAAGTTCACTGACTCAAAACGTAGAACTTTTGTGACAATGTCTGCCTGTTTCTTCTGTGGAAGGCTGCGCTAGGGGGTGGAAGGTTTCGGCAGATGCTCCGAGATACTAAAAGTCGGAACAAGTTTGGAGAAAAAATGCCAAAAAATAGGAACTTTGGACAGGAATTGTGAAACAAATTGAGCGCCCCTTTTCTACTCTGGATTTGGGCCTTGT